GCGAAGAGAACTTTTTTTTTTTCAATGGTCTTTGGATTGGATTTAGGGTTTCTTGTCTACTGAATTGTTGAAGTTTAGGCTTTTGTTGGATTTAGGATTGGTTCGATTGAAAATCGAGTGATTTTGGGGGAGAAGACGTCACGAGAATCGTCAACTGGAGGTGACTGAGAAACCAAAGATTTATAGGGGCTGCATTTTGAATTTGAACCAGCAATTGGCGTTGAGTACTGAAGGAAAGATTTGTGGAGACTGCAATCGCGACGTGACATATTGTTTTAGGGTTAGGTTTTTATGCGCTCCATCTGAATTTGAAGTCTTGGATTTACTTTCTTGGCTAGAAGAGAAGTTATTCGGTTGTGTGGAGCTGTTGACGTGTGCAGAATTCGGAAGTTAGTATCTCCGTCGCCTGCTATCTCCGTAGACTACACAGGGCAGAGAGAATCCAAAAAGTTCTTGAATTGGGGGAGTCTAGGGAAATGATGGGTAAAACCAGGAAAGTTTCCAAGGGTAGCTCGATTGGTTTTGTGCCAGATTATCGGCATGCATTGGAAACAGTTGCTGAGTCAGAAGGTTTTGTCAGCTCGGGCCGGGCTGATATAGACATGGGTGCTTCCCAGGACCCCTGTGCTCCAAATAGGAAGTGCATCAGCTTGAACGTGGATGGTTTTGATAGGTCAATTGTGCCAACTCAGCATCTTTCTCTGTCTATGATGTCACCTTTCGAGAGGAGGGATTTACAGATCAGGTTGAAGTCTGAGCTTGATAAAGTGTTAAAGCTTCAGAGAAAATTAGCTTCTTTCAGTTCAAACGTTGCAGCCCGTCCACCGGCTGCTGTTGTTGATGCTTATGATCATGGGCCGAATGGACATGTTATGGCAGAAACCTTGCCCCTGTCTACGAAGAAGAAGAAAGTCCCTCCTGGAAGAAATGGGCCCCGCACTAAAGGCGGGCCAAATAACAGAAACGAACTCGTGAAGCAGCAGGGTCATCCAAAGAATACCAGCTTTGTCATGTTGATGAAGCAGTGTGATGCACTGTTAACTCGACTAATGGGGCATCAACAAGCTTGGATTTTTAACGAGCCAGTTGACATTGTAAAACATAATATTCCGGATTACTTCAATGTTATTAAGCATCCGATGGACTTAGGGACTGTGAAGAGTAAGCTACATTCAAATCAGTATAGCAACCCAATGGATTTTGCTGCCGATGTTAGACTCACATTCAGAAATGCGATGACTTATAACCCAGTTGGACATACTGTCCATATTATGGCTGATGCAATGAGTAAATTCTTCGAAACGAGATGGAAACCGATTGAGAAGAAGATTTCGTCCCGAGTGGACGAATCAACAATTACAAAATCAAGTGGCGTTATGGAAACTGAGAGTGCTTATTTGCATCCAGCTAAGAAGCAGAAAACTACTTCTGTGGAAAACAATGTCAGGCATGAGATAGAAAAGCGGGTGATGGGTGAAGGTGAGAGACAGAAACTAGGTATGGACCTGGAGGAGTATCTGGCTGAATTGCCAGATAACATAGTCAGTTTTTTGAAAGAGAGCACCTTCAATAGTAGTCAAGTGAGTGAGGATGAGATTGAAATTGAGCTGGATACTCTAAGCGATGAAATTCTTTTCAAATTGCGGAAACTGTTGGATGATTTTCTTATGGAGAGGCAGAAAAAACAAATAAACCTGGAGACCTGTAAAATTGAGGTAGATCTCCCATCCTTTTGTGTGTCACCGATACTTTTGTGCTTTGTATGAATCATTTTATGTCATGTATTTTATACATGCATTTGTTACACAGATGCAAAAGGAATCAGGGTTTGATGGATCATCTAGCCAGCCTGGAAAAGGTAATTTTCTTTTTGCGGATGGGTTGCATTTCTATATTTTATGGCAATTGCAACTTGTTTGATTTTATTTATTATTTTTCCTTCTTCATTCAAACATTAACCAAAAGATGAGCCTCTGGATGATGTGGATATTGGAATAAATGGCGCACCACCTGCATCCAGTTCCCCCTTAATTAAACCTCATGAGGATGCTGCGAGGAGGAACAATAAATGTAGTAGTTCAATGGGCTCTGGTAGTGAGTCGGGATCCTCGTCCTCTGGTTTGTACTGTTGTGAACTACTGATGCATATTTGTTTTATCATTGTTACCCATTTTATTTATTTTCCTTGGGCACATGACTATATTATGTATATAGGCTTTGCGTTTTTATGTTGGATGATAACTCAGTGGTAATGCTGTATCTTTCTAGTAGAGATCTTCAGTTAGTTGCTTATCGTGATCATGCATCCTCCCCTGTTGGCAGTGTTGTCAAATAGCGGCCATGGCGTGGTGTTAAATAGCCTGGCTGCTGTGTTTTGACCGCCGTCTGGCGGGTTTCCAGTTACGGCGCCATGTCACCTGCTATGACCATTGCGGCCATGGTGCTGTGGTGGAAATAAGAGGTTTCTGGGACATTTTAGGTAGAAAACCCCAACTGGACTGGCTCAAAATCTCTTAGGAAAGCCGAGTTCAACAAAACCTTTATATTGCAACCAAAATGGAAAGAGAAAATAGAACACCAACCCGGCCACCCAACCTCCGGCAGATTATTTATTTTTTTTTTTATTTTTTCTGGCTTATTACTTAGTAATAATCAGCTATGATGGATGAATTGTCAATTTCCAAGATTCCATCTTAGAGAATAAGCAAAAGGAAAAACCAGCTTTTTTCTTCTAAAACATGTGCATATGTACAACAAATGTGATTTATTAGATACAATAATCAATTGACTAATAACATTAAATTGTTAATGCATTCTAATTTAACTAATAATGACTGCTCACCAGATGTAGGTTCAGCTAACTTCTAGAATAATTATCTTCAGATTCAGCCTTTTTTAATTTGTTTCAACCTTTATAATTTATGTTCTGTCTGCCTTTTGTCGTTGATTTTAGTTTGAAGTCTATTGAACGGTTGTCATATGTGCTTGATTGGGTTCTTTTCCTTTCTTTTCATATCTGTGGTTATCTTGAACTTGTTGAATGATTAATATTTTCTATTTCGTGAAACTAGTGATTTTTTCTTTCGTAGAGCAAAAATTGATTGCATGTTTTAAGGTTTTGTGGTGTCGTATCTACATATATATATATATATTTGTGTATAGATGTATAATAAAATATATATTTTGGTTCCGCCATTACTTCTGCCATTTTCTTCCACGGCCATAGATATATGGCTGTTTTATGGCTTTCCAACATGGCCCACCATTCGTCGGTGATATTGCTGCTCATTGGTTTTGAAAAGTCCCTCTTCTGGAGCATCATGACATTACTAGCAACTATGTCGGTGATGTCAGAATCACTCTGGTTTCAGAGCAGTTGTAAGATGAGTTGTAGGGTGTAATATTATTTAAATTTGCTTAAAATTGTGAGTTACAGTATCATGTATCATTGCCATATGTACTTGTGCACGTATATTTTTGAAAAACTTGTGAAATTTAAGTATGCACGGCATGAAAATTTTCTTCCCATTTGTCTATGTCGCTACCTTACGGTTTAGGGTATCATAGCACTTTTGAAACGTGGAGCACTTTGTTTGTGAATTAGAGTGCATGGTACTTAACCAAGTTTTACAAGGAAGGCATAGTTTACAAGAATTAACTTGATTTATGTTTCCCCTTTAATATGCACCATACAATTTTATTTTTCATTCAATAAAATAAGTTCAAATAAATGATTGATTTCATATGCTAGAATTTGACTGTGTTAAGTTACAGCTAACTATGAACTGTTTTGTGAGTGTTGTTGATGCCTCTACGTTTTGCCTGCCAGCAAGTATTCATTTCATTGACTTCATGTATGCCGGAATAGAGGAATTCAAATAAGATTTATTAATTCAATGTTTCTGTGGGGAGAGGTAAAGTTAGAACTGCCCCATACAAAATACTTTATAGCGCTAAACTGTAAGATTAGAATATTAGAACTTGAGAAGAATGTAACCATTAATGCATATAAATCGTCGTTATTTTGATATTTAATTCATTAAAACTACAATATCTGTTGACTACGAACTTACTAGTTACTATCTATAGTTACATCGTACACTTGCGGATAGCGAAAATAAATAGTGAACAATTATGCCAAGAAATAATGTTGTTCTGTCTCCCTGTATATAGATCTCGCTATAAGAAATGCAGAATTAGTACGTGCTTAATAAATATGGGTTTTCATTTGGCAGATAGAACGGTCCCGCTCTCTCCCATTTGCATGCATTACCACTCTTTTTTTTTTTTTT